TTGTACTAGTACTAGTACTAGTACAAGTACTAGTACTATTACCAGTAGTAGTAGTAGTAGTAGTAGTAGTAGTAGTAGTAGCCGCTGATGCTGCTACTGCCGCTGCAGTTACTACCACTGCGACGACGAAGCAACCCTGTAAACCTTGTTAGCGACAGGGGGAGGGATTCGAGAGGCGGGGGGGGTGTCCTTAATTATGTCCTAGCGCTACGAGTGCAAGGGGCCTGCAGCTCTGACCGAGAGATGCGGTCACCGCGGCTGCTGAACGCCCGAGCCGCGCCCTCAAGATCCTAGCACAACGGGGGCTTTGTAGGAGGGTCTTAGGTGGTGCATAGGTTTATGCGTTGAAACATGGCTATTGTGATCTCGACATATCTTACAGAAACTAGACATGAGTGTGCGTACATATACATACCTCACGCAAGGTATCTGTATATATTTGTATCGGGTCCTTCTTTGGTATTTGTGATTGGTCGTCGTTCAAACAGAGTGCGTCGGTTGTCGTGATGTTCAGCCAAGGCTATTTGACGAAGAGCTTATGGAGCACGTGGAAATAGGATGGTAGTAAGATGTGGCCGGTTCTTGCAACAAGCCCTCAGAAGTAGTCATGCGTACGAGCCAGGTCCACACCGCGGCGCTCCTGAGCCTGGACTCGAGCCGCAAACATGATGCCGAGCCCTCTACCCTATGGGCTTTGACCAAGTCGCAGGCTAACTACAAGCACCAATTGCAGCAGGTTCGCCAAACTGGAGAGTGCGCATCCCTCCCTTGCTTGCAACCCGAGTTCGACGGTAGCCCAAATCTAAAACCCCCCACCACAATCTCCTCCCGTGGCGGAAGACCTCCCGCGAAAACAAGGGCAATGCAAGCCTCGCTGTTTGGGCAGAGGTGTAGATCAAGGCGGATCGGTAATGGGGAAGGGTCAGTGTGCAAAAAGGAAGGTCTCGAAGGGGCAGCTGCTGCACACGACAAGGAATCAAACGCCCTAGAGCACTGATCTGAATCTCGTCCCGGGGTTGTGCGGGAGACACCTGCGCGTTGTAGTTTTTCTTAGGCTTTCGCGGGATAGGCATCGTACTCCATCCGCTAGGAAGGACTAGGACCCTGTGGAACAAACTCCGTTTCGCATCAACCCCCGCCCCCCCCCCCCCACACATGCAACCTGTCCCCAATTTATTTCCAAGGTGCTACATGCCTTTGGTGCTCCTGCTGAGGCATCGTCACAGGAAGTGAGAAGACTGAGGGAGCATAATCTTCGATTCGCGACAGAACCTGAACCGAGCTCCCAACGCCCCGACAGGCTGAATCACGCCAGCTACGAGTAACTACCCCAGAACCCTGGTCCTGCTGTGTCTCGTAGAGCATGAGATCTTCAACCTGCCCGCGCAAGAATCACTTAACCTCGACGTCGGAACCTAAAGGTCTCAGGAATTGAACCCCCGTTGCGGCACTAACCATCGGCCCGCAATCATCGGATGGGAATGTTAGCCTGAAGGCTACCCGAATCGCAAAGCTTTGGAGCCCTTCTGCCTGCCAAACCTAGCTTTTCGGGCTTCTCGCGGCCCAGCTGTGCAGGAAAGACAAAGTCCCGCATTTCACAATCCCGCAATCAGATGTGGAGCACGAGGGTCACCTGGAGCGTCCTCTTTGGCCACCAGTCGTCCAAGAAGCTGAAGCCTACACATGATCAGCGTCGCGGGTTGAGGGCCTAATTACCGATAGGGTTAGGGCGGTCAGTGCCTGTAATCCGTGCTTTTCGACAGTAGGAAGAGAGAGCGGGATGTAGGCGTGGTGAGGATTTACATGTTGAGCTTAATTACAGGCTCAGGTTTGGGTTCCGCCAACAAGTCCATATGCTGAAGGTGCATGCCGACCAAGGGCGTGTCACAGAAGATGCAACCACTCCTTTGGCCCCCAACACGATCGTCTGTAAGGACAGCTAGTGCCCACACTGCTATAGACCATACGAAACCCTTTCTCTACAAAACCGTCCATAGCCTGTCGCCGAATGTGCACGTTGAATCCTACAGCTTGTATATATAGGTGTACTGCGTACACAGAGAGTTCTCCGCTTAGACCACAACGTGGGGCCTAGCCAGCCGAAAACCGGCCCCAAGCAGCGATGAAGGCATCCCTGGATCATCCTTGGCTGACTTCTCATTGCGATTATTTCTCTTGTGCGGGACAGCACCGGCCCGAGGCTTTTACATACTTGGTCCAGCAGAAGCTGCCGGCTCATCATTTCCGCTATATTTGGCCTTTCAGGCCGTGGGATTCCAGCATGCAGCGCAAGCTTGACAAAGTGTCGGTGGATCACGGTAGACCCCTATGCAGCATTGTACAACATAGTACTTAGCTTGAGGGTAGAAGTTTCGGGTGGAGACAAGTTCGGTCGCCACACCGTGGCCATCGTACATCAAAGCCCGACAGGAACTCCAACACGTGTGTAGATTTAGGCATCTCAAACACTCAACCCCAGGCACCTTGAACATAGGTGGAGAGTTCCACTTAGGATGAAGCCAGGCTTCCAAGCAGTGCTCTCGATCGCATCATTATCGACTGGAGCCTTGTAGCCTGGCATTCGGATGTCTTGTCAAGCCGCTTCAGACACTGTCTTTCTGTCTCCCAGACCGTTGCACTCATCGACCTAATTCCTTTTGTCGAAGCCTTTGGATAGCGGTCTTGCACGAGTCCAACGCTAGGCTCCTCTCTCGAATTGCGCAGCTATTCCTAGCATCTGAGCCACCATCTCCAAGTCTTACCAGAACTACACACTCCAAGTCTTGCCAGAACTATACACACAAGTTAGAATTGCGACGGCCTCCAGAAGTCTGGGCCGCCCCTATACGGGTGGGCTCTGGAAGGAGGTGGCGGGCCTCCAGGTCCTCAAGAGCGGCCCGAGTTGTGACGCGCATAGAGGATAGGGAACAGAACCGGTAGCCTCTTCGGGGCCAACGCTTAGAAGGGTCCAGGGAGTAAGGCTCTGAACAGCAGAGACGGATTCGGCTCCTCACCCGGCGCTGCGCCTCTGCTTGCCGGCTCTGCAAAGCGCATGGCACCGGCAGCGAGGACCAGAGATTGTGAGCCGCAAGTTCGTGATTTAAATTTGAGGAAGACTAAAGTCGTAATAGGAGTTCGGGAGCAGGCAGCGCGGTCTTGAATGCACTTCAGGTCGGGGAATCCGCCTTGCGTGGGCCCAGCACATGGCACTCGTACAAGAGACCAGCAAGTCCCGCTTGTGTTCCGCGTGCTCCTGTTTGCTGCACTGCTGTATATGCCCAGAGGCTCGCACTCAATGACTGGAGAAGAGGTTCTGCAGGCTCCACCATCCCTGCTCTTACTACCTCTCAGGCAGAAACCTCGGAATCCAAGGAGGAATGTCTACCCCGGAGATCTGGAGCAATGGTGAAGGCTATCGGCAGTCTGGATCAACATTCCAAAGTTTCTACTTCCTCTTGCGTCGAGCCACTTTGGGCACTTTAAGATAGGCTGCAGCGAAGTTCAGCAATGCATGGTCAAGGCAGCAGAGGCGGGATGCTGAATGTCTGGCCCTGACCGACACTCAAAGCCCCAAAAGCCGATCCACAACTTGGACAAAGTCCCGGCTACTCCACCGAACGCTGGTTTCTGTTGACTTGTGCTTTTGAACTCCGGAAGCCCAAGCCGTATGCCCACCGGCAATGAGGATGCCCCTTCTAGGGTGCGTGCGCGGCCGCCGGCAGCAAAAGCCGCACGTCCTGCAGACTTTAGTTGTACCGTCCTGGCCTCTGCCTGCCCGCGTGATCAGGCTGTTCTTCAAAGGAGCTTACAACTCGCGATGTCACCAAATGAAAACCTTTCGTATGCAGGAAAAGCTGCCTCAGACTGAAATCACATGTCTGCAGCGGAGAAGAGTACACACACACACTGTCATACTCACAGGTACGGTGCGGACACCGTGAAGGCGTTCCTCCAAGGACTGGACGAGTGGCACGGCATCCATAGAATAGTCGTAGCCTCGCTGAAACCAAAACTCGCTTAGTTGCGTTCACATGTCAGGGCCTAAATGCCAAGTCCGAAAGCCTTGTCAACCCTTGCTCAGCGCCGGACCTGGCCGGACATTGCCGTAACAGCCCAAGGCCCCAAACCGCTGTCCCAAAACTCCATTTTCTCAAACTCTCAATTTGCGCAGAAGAGTTTGTTAAAGTACAAGTAGATCCTTCTGCAATCGCGGTAGGTGTGGGGATTGCTGCAGGTTGAGGATGCCAGGTAGTGCCACGAAGCCATGCATGAGGCTTCGACCGACATGCAGGAGGAGAAACCGCAAAGGAACACCAACAATTCTGTCTTCAGGCATGCTGCTGCCTCCTCTACTGGTATACTGAGAGCCCGTGTTTCAGGGAAGCTACAGAGGATCCGCAAGACACAGCCCCTGAGATTCTGACCAGGGTCCAAAGCTACAGAACTCCCAGTCGCACTTGAGTAGAGGATTTTCGATTTCATCATATTTCCCCCACCCCGCATTTTCAGAAATCCGTCCCTGAGGACTGTCTGCCTGGCTTGACATAGTCTAAGTCAACGTATGGCAACAGGGCGCAACCGATCGCAAGAGTAGTCGAAGAGAACCACAAGCTTTTTGGCCAGAGACGTAACTAGTCCGATTGACAAATGCAACACGACCGCCCAAGCTTTCACGTTGTGCAGGCTCTCCCGAGACATGTGAAGTGGCGTGGGTACGCATGCTGCCGGGTCCCGCACAGAGAAAAACAGGCCAAGCGAGCAGCTTCAGGTACCTTATCGCACTTTGGGTGCTGTCGAGGCTTGCTAGGCTCTGTTTGGAGGTGCGGGCAAGGGTGATTGAGTTACGGTCATACGTTGGTCATTCGCCTAAGGCCAAGCTGAATGCCATTGCCAGTCGCACTCCGTCTTGCGACTTGCGGCAATCGGCCCATGAACTCACGCCCCGGGCACGGTTTAAGGCAGCAACCGCTCAGTCTTCCAAGGACAGTTCCACCACAGGTCGGACAAATCCGATCTGAACCGATTTGCGAACCATAGCCCCGGACTCAGGGCTCGGCATGCCGTGTACCAGCGCGTAGGACAAGAGTCGAACGTAGGAGTCTTCGGAGGCCGCGATGGGGTTGCTGTACCTGGCCAACTCTCACATCCACCATGTCGCATCACGTCAGGCTGTATGCTTGGACCGCAGTACTGATAGTGATGATGATGGTGGTGATGCTTAGCAACGATGACGATGGTGCTGTTGACATTGATGAGGATGAGGATGAGCCGTGCGAAATTGATTAATACTTTAGTTGATGGCGAGACGTGGCGATGGTGGAAAGGATGACCGTGATAGCGCGGATGATGCCGAAGCTGTTGCTGATGCCGTTGGTCATGGCGGCGATGGAGGCAAAGACCGTCGTCACGATGACAGAAGACTCCAAGGGCACATTATGCGTTTGATTCCGTTGATCATACCTTTACAAACAACTCTTAGTCAGAGGTTTGACCCTCCCAGCGGCATGAATGAGTGAGAATGTTCTGCGGGCCATCTCCGAGAAGGAGAACTGCGAAACACCCCAACCACTCGGGGTACGGGTCCATGCGCGCGATCTGCGTCCCAGAGGTGTACCAAACTCTGGCAACGCCTGCTGCAACGTGGGCTCCGTGCTTGGACAATCACGAGCTACTGACTAGCACAGAGGTCGGACTCAGACTTGTTACTTGACATCCATGAAGGCATGGAACCTCCCCCAATTTGGAGCTTTTGAGACGTGTGAGGTCGTGGCACGCAGCGCTGCCGATGACGAGCAGGGCAAGCACCTGTCAGCACTTTTTAAGTCACAATCGTCTTTCTGCCAAACCAGCCCCTTCGCTCCAACAGTGTCCCATGTATTCATCCGCAATGATTTGCCTGAGACATGCTTTTCTTAAGCTGATTTGATCGAGGGAGCGTTCAATTTCTCAACACACCGGAAGCCTCAAAGCCCCAAATTCCGTGACCTCTCGATGCGTCTGGTCCCTACCGAAGCTCCGCGATATATTGATTAAAGCTTCGGAAGGGTTCTGAGATTTTGCATACCCCCCTGAGCCCTTCATGCCACAAGTGCCCTTTCAAGAGCAAACACCCTGTTCCGACTCACGCCCTCAGAAGAACCGAGGCGTCGACACGCAAGAGCCGCGGCAAACCGCAACCTGTCGATGAGAAGGGGAAAGGTAGAGTTTGGAGCCTTGGGGCTTTAACGCAGTATAACAGGTCAGGTCTGGCAGCAGCTGATTACCCTACAGGCCTACAGGGCTGTGCAAGCACGCGCTGCCCTCATGAGGCTGGTTGCAAGCATCGTCTCTCAGACCAGGAATGCCGCAGGGCCGGAGCTTCAACGGCTCAAAGTCCGAAAGATAGAAGCAGCACGGCCAGCTGCAGATCGTAAGTAGCTTGAAGACAGGCAGAAGCCCTAACTTTCGAGTCCTCCCGCCCCGACTCCTAGCCACCACGCCCAAACCAAGTTCTGTCAAGCACGGCAGAGCTACCAAGTTGACCTCGCAGGAGGGCCAGGACCTGCTTGGAGAATCTCCGGGGAGCGAAGCGGAGGATGGAGCTTTGTGAACTTGCAACAATCGGCCAACTGCGAGCTCTGGACTCCCCAAGACTTCGAAGGCAGATCTACTACGGCCCCTAAAACCCTATAGCACCCTTCTAGAAACCATATAGAAACCCTGGTAGTTCGCGTTAAGGATAAAAAGGGGCCCCGCTGAGTCTCGGGTAGGACTCCGGCCTCCCAAATTACGAGGAAGCCAAAGAAAGTGAAGCCGGTCTCCTCGCAAACTGCGAGGTTTCCGGCAAGGCCACCCGATTTGTGCTTTGAAACGGGGGTTTAGGGTTTAGGATTAGGGTTTAGCGGAGGTTCTTGAGAAACCGGCACTTGACTTCTGACCTTACTGTGCTAGCACATGGCCGCTGATCTAAATTCCTGAATCCCGGAATGACAGTCTTCTCGAAAAGAAATGCATTGTGCCAGACTGCGTAGTACCATCGTAGAGCAATGCGCACCTTTTGCAAGTCCGGAACCCCAAAGTATGAAGCATGCTTTAGCAAACCTACGCTATAGTCGCTGTGATGATACAAGAACTGGGTACCTGCGCCTTACTAGTAGTAGTGTCGCTGCTGCTACTGCTGTTGCTGCTGATGCTCGGTTTTGCCCCGGCACTGCTCTTGCTTCTGCTGGGAGTACTATGACCACGACGACGACGACGACGACAACGACTGCTACTGCTACTGCTACTGCTACTGCTACTGCTACTGCTACTGCTACTGCTACTGCTACTGCTACTGCTGCTGCTACTGCTGCTGCTACTGCTACTCCTACTGCTAGTCCTACTGCTAGTCCTACTCCTACTCCTACTCCTACTCCTACTCCTACTCCTACTCCTACTCCTACTCCTACTCCTACTCCTCCTACTCCTACTACTACTACTACTACCACCACTACTACTGCTGCAGCCAATTGTCAATATTG